GAACTGCACGTGACTTTGGCTTTAAAGGGACCATGAAATGACCTTTTTACTTTTTCCAGATAACTTTTACATTAAACCGTCAATGTTCACTGAATGCCGAACAGGCATCCGTTTTCGTCTCGGTTTATTAACTTCTACACAAAAAATTATTGAAATATCGACTTTTTCATTCTCTCCAACTGACCGCAAAACAAGCCGTGACGTACGCTGTTTCCGGAACCGGAAGTTCTCTCGGCAGTAGGAGAATGGGAGCGTTAAGCCTAGTTCACATGCAGCGGTTTTGGCCCTAGAGCGGCGCGATTTCTGCCGTCGCGGCGCTCTGGCCAGCACCAGCAATTCTGCGGCACGAGCGCCGCGACGGCAGAAATCGTGCCGCTCTAGGGCCAAAACCGCTGCATGTGAACTAGGCTTTAGCGGCAACGAGTTGGGGTGCGCCGGTAGGTTTTACTGCGCTGATGTCACCGACGTATTTTCTGAATCGGCGCCTCTCATCGCCGCATCGTAGCTGAGCGAAATTCAATGAGATATGTTGCGCTACAGCGACAGCATGGGACTAGTCCCATACGCCGGTATGCCTGTTGGGAAGTGCAGCGAGTCTTCCGGTAAAGACTCCAGAAGTCAACCCAACTGTCATTGTTGGCAAAAGGGCCGGCCCGTGTCAGTCGTTTGCAAAGCGACGTAGATGGAAACAAATTGCCGTGAATTGCCGTGGCGCTTTTCGCAGCCTCGGAGATGCAGGAGCGAGCCGACGTTAAAAAAGATACGTTTGAACTACGAGTGTCAGCAAGAGCCACGTAAATACCTGTTTACACTCGGAGCGTACGCGCACGCTTGATGGAAGCGCTGTATTCGCGCTCTTGGTAAGCGCTTCGGGACCGTTCTTTTACGATTGCAACTCGATACTGACGCGACACTCGGCAAAGAAAGGTTGGACCGGGGTTGCACATATACCTCCCATGAACTGTTATAGCTCGACGGTGACGTTCAGTCTGTCAGAATAAAAATGGCATATCAATAATAAAGTGTACATACCGTGTTACGAAGGTAATCCATACGGCGTTTATTTCAGCTCTATATAACACAAAACAAGAAGATAGAATCGACGAGAGTCCCTTTTCGACGAGTGTTCGTCAACACTGCCTTGGAAAACAAGGGGAAGAGATTGACCTCACCTCTTAATCTAAAATTGAGGTCAGCGATCAAACTATAATACGGGAAGGGTCCACAAGGGTCGCGCGGGCATATTCCATTTAGCACGCCAGCCGGTCGTAGGCAGACTGTCTTGCGACGAAGCAACGCAGCGCCGAGTCGGAATGCCTGCTAGGCCTATATTCTGAGCAGCTCGCTTCGTCGGAGTCGGTGGATCCGGTGGATCCAGCGTTCTTGTTCGTCGTGGTCTGTTTTAAGTACTGTTTTCTTGCTGCTTGAAGTCGGCACGCGCGAGAAGAACACGTAGAAAAATAAACGTTCAGTCAGTCAGAGTTTTGAGAGGAAGGAAAACAAAGAAAATAAACGTTCGTCGGTCGCCGCCACCCAAGTAACTGTCGGCCCTGCCCTACTGCACACGCACAGTAGTTGCTTTGTTTACCACACGATAGATGGCGCTTGGCTCTCAGCATTATCAAATTTGTCAATTTTCGCCACACATCTCTAATTATGCTACAAAATGTGGATCTGAATATTATTTAACAAAACTTTTAGGAAACATTCGCCGGCTATTTATTGTTTACGATCGCGGTGCTGGTGAGGTAGGCTCTTACCCAATAGGCGACGTGGATTCGGCTGACGTCTTCGTTTCCGCAGATGCATCGTAGTGAAAAGGCAAAGGAAAGAAGGCGCAAGAGTCCAGTTTTCTTTTAAAAGTTCTATAGCAAATAATTTTTTTTGGCTCCCTATTTTTGTGTTTTTGTGTTTCTTTTCACAGCTTTTACGACGTGCGGTGGATGAAACTCGATTTTAAAATCATTTCATGGTCCCTTTAAGAACAGATACAGCGGATGAAGTTACAGGGGTGCCACCCCCATCTCCCCGGTGGACGCGCCGCGTCGAACTACCGAAGTAAAAATGCACCTAGGTCTAGACGCGCTACCTGAAAGCCCCGCTGAGGCATGGTTGTATAAAAACAATATTAATTGTGTCGCAAAACCCTGCAAACTAAAGATTTTAAAAACATAACGCGCCCCTCTTTTTGTACTAAACTCCAATAAATTTCATACAAAAAGAGTCTTTCTTTGTTTGTTTTTACGCAAAAACAGGCTTTCAAAAAGCTCAAGGTGACCACAGTACAGACAAACGATAAAGAGTGGTGCTGTTGTCGCATTTAGCTCGGTCTCGGTGGACGCCAGTGGCCCAGGTTTCGACGGCGAGTTTCCCAACTGAGTGTTTTAGTAACGTTGCCCTGGACCAACGAGGTAGAGGGGCTTAAAGGGGTAATCGGGCGATTTCTTCATGGTCCCCAATTTGCTTGAAATTTTGCTAAACTCGCCAAAATAGTATCCCAGATATTAGGTCAAAATAATTTTTTTTTTTCACAGTTATTGAATTTACAATTTTGGTCCTCAACCGTGTTTTATAAACTGAAAGTCTACTGGCAACAACGAAAAAGTGACTTCAGTGGAAGTGCAGGGGTTCACTCTTTGGACTGTAGAATTTGTTCCCAACTGATTCGAAGCAGTTCCATGGTGTCAAATGAATGCTTTGTAAGCTCGTTCCAGTACCCGCGCTCCAGTACGGAACAAATGATTGGCATATTCTATTTTTTGGACTGCTCGCTCGACTGGCAAGCTTGCCTTCCACTGACGTCACGGCACTGAAAAGTGCGGGTATATTTGAATGTTGGTTTTTGCATCATTTTCATTTTCCAATTTCGCAATAACTATTATGAATTTCGCAATAACTAAATAGCATACCGGAAAGGGTAAAGGCCGGGGAGTCAGAAAATATAGTTTGTTGAGGTAGCTCAAAAAATCGCCGAAGTACCCCTTTAAAGGGGTATTCCGGTGATTTCTTCATGGTCCCCGATTTGTATGAAATTTTGCTAAACTCGCCAAACAACATCGCCGAAATAGTACCCCAAATATTAGGTCAAAATAATTTCTTTTCACGAAGTTGTTGAATTTACAATTTTGGTCCTCACCGTGTTTTTCAAACTGAAAGTCTCTACTGGCAACAACGAAAAAATGACGTCAGTGGAGGTGCAGGGGTTCACTCTTTGGACTCTAGAATTTGTTCCCAACTGATTCGAAGCAGTTTCACGGTGTCAAATGAATGCTTCGGAAGCTCGCTCCAGTCTCTGCGCGTTAAATCAACGAGTTAAATCATAATTAAAAAAAGTAACTCAAAAGTAACGTGCGTTACTTCTTAACGGTAACACATCCCTTTTATTTTGAGGTAACGTAGGTGGGTAATGCATTCCTTTTATTCGCAAGCAACGAGTAACATATCTCGTCACTTTTTGTCGGTAACGCCTACAACACTGACGTTCTGTCGCCGATCTTTTTCCGCCTGATGGTGCAGGCGTAGCGAGCCACCGTCGAGTGCTTGGCCAGTGCTTTGTGCTCCAACACTGTGGGAACAAAATCTCGGCAGGCACGATCAGACGGCGTTTTTTTTTGCACATAAGCAAGCCTCAGGACGGAGATTGAAATGGAAGCCACACTTGCCTCCAAGAAAGTGCTTGCCGCACGAACAGACGTCCGCGCGAGGCGACCGTTATTTTCGATCCACGGATATTACCCACCTTCTGCGCCTTTCAGAGTCAGCCAGGAACTTGTTGAAACTCTCCCCGCTACTTTTGCTGTACCTTTCAGTGCAATTAACGGCAACACAGCCTTGCGGCATGCTGAAATGCTTTGACGCCCATGCAAAATGTGCGCCCTTTTGCCCACACCACCCGGCTCCGGCGCGATTGCAGCGCCGCCGCAGCTCCGTGACGTCAAGCCCGCGTGTCGGTCAATATTATTGAACCACTTACCATGATGAGTCATTATTATGGCTGTCATTAATTTTCTTCGGGGGAATAAGTCCTACTGCCTTTGCCAAGCTGCCAATATATAGCACAGGCATAAGAACCACTTACCACTGCATAAGCGTCTATAAAACAACATATTCATACTTATCCTCCGTGAATGATCCGAAGTACTCCGAAAAAGCAGAGAGTGCGACACAAAAGACCTGTCGGTAAGAAGCTACACTATCAGTTTGAAAACAAAAATCTCATGCGGTCAGATATTTATCTATATCCTTGTGGCGTGTTAAATTTATTACGAAGCTGCAATCATAGCAAGAGAAAGAATCGGTGCCATTTTGATACCTCTTTATAAAAGAAAAGGGTCTTTTCATAGTAAGTCTCTAAATAATAAATTTGAAACTAAAATCATGTAGCCCGAGAGCTCCCCAAAATTAATCTTGTCAATATCCTTGTAGAATATTTTTTTGAATCACTTGCACAAACATTTCAGTAAGTACCAAAATGCTAGTAAATTTCAGAATATAAACACTGGAAAAAAAAGCCTGCAAACAAATGCAGGTTTATTTCAGTCAATTTATGAAGTCTATGCTGATAGGTTTATAAAACGAGGCATTTATTAAAAAAATAGAATACTTTGAACAGCGTTAACAAGTTGGATGAACCGACTTGTTAAGACGATAGCAGTACGTCTTTTTAACAAATGGCACGCTGCCAAATTTCCTTGCTTGCCAAATTAATGGGGCATGAAACCCACTGGGCATACTCTGTCATTCCAGAGAAGCACGTGCAAACTCAAAAGGCTTATATCCAAAGGAAGATAGGAAGATAACAAGCACAAGGGTATTCGTTCTAGCTGATCCAAAAACACACGAAAAGCTAAACATGTAAAAAAAACAAAAAAAAAAACAAAAAAACCAGCGTTTTACAAAGACTATTTTTATCGCAAAAAAATTAATGAAGGAGGCATCAGATACAAGAATCACAAAATCGCGGAGTTTATTAAAGAAGGACGACTCTGGTGATGCTGTTATTATATTGCTTGGCAGGGAGTTCCAGTTGTGAACAGTCCTTGGAAAAAAATAATACTTTAATGCATTAATCCGACAGTTGAATTCTTTGAGTGTTTTGCAATTATAACTTCGCATGGGATAATTTTGAGGTGCGGATGAAATATATTTAGAGATGTCGATTTTGAACCGGTTGGTTTAATAAATCAAATAGGAACTTTATTCTCGTAAACATGCATCTATGCTTTAGTAAATTCACCCCAGAAAGGCACAGTCTCAGGTTACCAGTTTGACATTGTTTCAGCTTGCTGCCCTTGTTCGGTCAGTGTCTTGCAGTGCCTTAGCGATCGTGACTGCTGCCACCATGTGGTCAATAAGTGGATTAATGGTTAATAAAACATTGGTTTACTGGAATGCCCAATGATCTTGTGAGCTGCCAAGCTGGCAGCTCGCATGCAGGCTCTCGTCTGCATGATCGAACACGCTGGAAAACTATCCGCAACTCTGGCAAGCAACCTAATGAAACAAGTAACCACACAAGGGTAAGTGCTGCATTCAGTGGCAATAGGTCTTCTGTAGTAGTCATAACTGACGTGTTAGGATAGGAGTAAAGGACTGCCATTCCTGACCCATTCACAGCTATGTCTTCTTTTATTCCACAGGCCCAAGCTTATACAACAATGCCCTTTAACAAAAAAGCATTAGGACAAGTGTTTGCCTTCCTTCGTTCTGTCACATTATTTTTACACCCCAGTTTGAGTTTAATTCCCTTTCCGAACAATACCAGCTTCACTCTCAGCATTTAAGCATGAAATAGTATTTCTTAAAAATTCAAATGCGAAAATTCAAAAATTGAAAGGTGAAATAAGGCAGGGGGATTCATACCGACGCCGACAACATCGCATTTCAATGGTTTGTTTATGGACAATGGCAAGCTTCTTGCCCACACTCCATCGCGCATGCGCAGAGCTGGTGGTATCCGCTAGGTGCGCTCCGCTTTGTTTGTAAACATATAGGGCTTTCTTCTGTACTATCATGGCCAAGATGAGCTGAAAAGTGAGGATGTGTGGCATGCAGTACTTTCGAAGCCCCTGCCGCATCGTTCTGCAAACTGTGATGCACGTTGTGCCACCCTGCACTTCTGTGTTCTCTGCTTATGAAACAGCAGTTCTGTTCAGATGGATGCCTCGATGGTCAGGTCACCTTGAAGCTCCCACTCCAAGTGGAAAGAATAGGCTTTTTGCAAAAATCCCAAAGGGTAGGCCACACAGCCTTTGCCTGCCCCCGTAACACTGAAGAGTGCAAGAGGTATAGCACAGTTGCTCTCCTGACTTTGCTGTCGCCTCCCCGGTGCTGCGGACAGCGGCATCGTGCTTTGAAAAAGGTCTATTCACTGATGCAGCTCTGGCAAGCTGGCGGTTCCTATCCCTTGTAACACGAGAACGCCCCTTACGTGGTGTATCCTGAGGTCGAACCTCATTCCTGTAGGTGCGATCTATGTGTTTCGTTCACTAAAGCGTTTACCAATTATTGTGTGATCATAAGCACAAATTCTTTCGAGAAGGTCTGCAACAGATTTATTCTGCATCGTGCGTCGGTTTGAGGTTTAGCGAAAGGAAGGGATGTCGCAACCATTTGCTCAATAGCAGATGACACGGAAATGCAGAGGTGAGCCGCCAGTGCAGAAGGAACTCTGTGTTGGCCACGGTGCCCATCACAGTTTGCAGAACAATTTGACAGGCTGCCTTGACAGTACCACGGGCCATGCCTGTGGCGTTTCAACTTATTTTGGCTGTGATAGAGGCTGTTCCTCTATCTATGAGCGCTTCTTTCAAGAACCTGTAGGTTCCAATTTCCGAGTTTTTGCTATTACCGGTGTCGTGTTGGTGTCCCGGGTAAGGGCCATTCATCTCCACGATGATGCCGTTAGCACACATGATGCTCTGATACTTGATGGTGTGCAGACGCTTGTGGCCTGAGAAATAAAGCCGCTGGTCCTCCGTGGGTCGGCAGATGGGGCGGGCCGTTCCATGAACGAAACCCCAGCAGTTCTGAAAAGGTGCCCCCTTTGCGCGGACTGCGTGCAAAAGCAAAACCAATAACGGACTTGCAATTTTTTTCTTCTTTTTTTGTGCGTTTTTAATTTAACATTACAATATGCTTACCTCGGAGAACTCGTCCAAGCTTGTACAGTTCAACCACGTGTGAGCTGACAGATCCGCCGTCGGCTGCCTGAACGTAGACGTCAAATGGTTTAGCACCACGGTCGTCGCAGTCGAGAGTGTCGAAGAGTGGCGGCCAAACATGCCTTCCAAGTTGCAGAGGCGGTTGGGGTAGGAGAGTCTCCGCAGAAGAATACATAGAGCTTCATGCCCGGGGATGGCGACGTTCTGGGCCGTCCTTATTGTATCGGGGACTCGCAGCGTGCTACACAGCTCCGTTAAGTCAATCTGCTCAAAACAAAGCTGCTGGCGGAAAGCTTCACTATCTATGCTGAGCACATCCAAGTAGCCTCGCCCGGACCTAAACCTCCGTGGAACGGGGTACTCCATATCCAGAAAAAAGAGTTCTTCGATTTCGTCCCACCTCAAAACAGCTAAGGCCAAGGGATCCTCGAAAACGCACGTCGCCATGGCTCAAGTTGGTCACTCGCTCGACTCGATCACGTTCGTGCCGCCCGTGCTTCCTATGGCTGCTGTGGCTTCCCGTGACAAGCCACCGGGGAACTAGATTGGCTTGTCTCTACTTGGCTAGATGTAGCTTGCTGCTGCATTTCTTTAATTTCTGCAGCTTATAAAACTTTATAGATGTTTTTTTAATTGTATTAAATGTAAGAACTGTTATTTTTTCTTCAGTAAAACATCTTTCTTTTAATTCGTTATTTTGAATTCTGGAAAGTGCAAATCGTTCCCACTAGGGAGCACCCCTAGTGAGGCGCTCTCAAGCGACCTTATCGGACGTATCATCTTCAAAATGGTCTACTAAATGCGCATTCCCATTCTGTGTATCAGTATCGTATGGTTATCGTATCGTGATAGGAACGATCTACTAAAACTCTAATGCTGCACGTGTACTCGTCTAAAAGACAAGTAACATTATGCACAATAGTTTGGTCAGACTGATTTAAATCGTGAAACAAGGTTTTTCTACCGCCGTGGAAAGGCGCTTGAGCCATCGACCGAACCAGCCCAGGTTCTGATTCCCGGTAAAGAATTCGGTGAACAAAACCCTTAGGATCTTCCACAGTTACTGCTCTTAGATTCAAGCCATAGCTGGAGAGCAAGTCTTCGAGTGTGCTTTCAGCACTGTTGGAGAAAACTTGGAAGTTTTCTTTTGTCAGTTTTCTTGCAGCCTTCTTCAACTCGTTTTCCATCGTTCATGAGAGCATCAAAAGCAACATGAGACATTTGCTCGGCGAGAGCGTTATTTTGCGCTGTCCCTGACTCGACTGTACAAGTCAGTGATGTTGTTGTAGCCTTCTGTTGCTCGTTTTCGGCCATTTTCTCATCGAACAGTTTTTGGAGAGTTTTAGCGAGTGCCTCTGACGGTACGCAATCGCTCTGCCCCTCGTTATCCGCTTGACCACAGTCATTAGCTGCAAGACCAATGGTCACGTTTTGTTGCCTCAGCAAAAAACTAGGCTTATCGCGTGTTTTAGGTTTTTTGTACTGGCTTTCCACAGCTGTGCACAAAGATCGCAACCACTTCTCTTACTGTTTGTCCACATTATGCAGAGAAATGTTACATGGACAATGCCTTTGGAGTGTTTCTACGTAAGAATTCCCTAACAACTGCTTTTCGTGTTGAACTTGCCTAACAAGTGTGTTAGTTACCATAATACTCATGAAACCTCCTTCTAGCTTTACGCTGAGGCTGCATTCGCTCGTGTCCGCCATTATGACACCGTGGTCACGCCTTTCGCTAGAAAGTAAATGTGCAAGTATTCCTGTGGAAACCCGTTCACAAATACTCCGGAAGCCCTCGGGTGTCGCAGACTGCCTTGGATCCTCCAGGAAAATTGAATTTCCATTCCACCACCCAATTTGGTGTCTCGAACGTGCCACCGGCTCGGTAGTCTCAGGCGTTCGAAATCAGCCTCATGACACTAAAGCCACCTTCCGTCTATCTTTGCGCCCTTTCCATGAAAAACCCAGCGGAAAAGGTCCAGATATATTCTACCCTTACAAGGCCGTCGCACCTTTCGATGTTGGAGAGTCTTCTGCACCTCGAAAAAGTAGCTTGTCTGTTGCGGCGTCCAGGCGGCACTGCGTTGGTTGGCTGGAGTTGACCAACTCCGCAAGGCAAGCCGCGTTGAGGTGGCTCTGAGGCTCCAGTGTGGATTTCCATTTCGGTAGGCCTTTCCTTTGAACGAGGAATCCGTTGCTCTGGAACTTATAAAACATTAGGTAAAGTGAATGCTTACTGTAAAGTAAGCATTCACTTTGCCACAGGCTACAGCCAAATCCACAGCACATCAAAACGCTCTTCTCCTGACGCAACTGTGGACTAGAATGACCTTGCTGAAGACATTGCTACCATCAAGGACTCCGTCTGATTTCGTGAAGCCGTTTTCAACATCGCATCATGGCATAAAGGGTAATGTAAATAAATAAATAAATAAATAAATGGGTGACTGCGAAGGTGATGCAGCCTTCCAGCTTCGTAAAACATCCACCTGTAGTGCTAGGCTTTGCGAGGGGCAAAAAAGCCTGCTGCTCATAATGGGCTTATCTAGGCTTATCCTTCCAGCAGAAGCCGCTACAAAAGGGGACTTCTCCCCCGCCTCACCCTGCGACAGTTTCCGCTGCGTTTGGGCTCCGTTTCACCTTACGTCAGAGTGCAGCGGATGCTACGAGCCATCGGAGCTAATTGGCTGTGCGGCAAGAAATTCCCAGGTCACTGAAATTAATCCTCAGTCTTGCAATCGAGCGTGTCAGATGCACTTGTTTACAGGTTTTACTTGAGCTAGTTGGTACATACCTGAATATGGTCAGCTGAACAATTACAAAATAGAATAAACCGTGAGAGGAAATACATACAGCGGTGTGTATGTATTTCCTCTCACGGTTTTTTCTAATTTGTAATTGTTCAGCTGACCATATTCAAGCACTTGTTTCGTTCGGCATGTAAACCCTTATATATGACTTTGATATTTAAAGGACAGCGAAGTTATTACACAAAACTCAATCGCAGGAGAGGACATGCATTTTGTGCACAAGACAATCTCAGATAGTCAAACACGATTATGTTGAACCCGGTTAATTTGAACTATCCCTTGTATCACGCTATTTCTTAATAGATTAGTAGCTGCAATGGAAATGCATAGCAAAAAATGGGTGGTTACATTGAACAAAAATTGCAGCGTCTCCCAATAAATTGAACTGCCAAGAGCACTGTTTTTCTCTGCAAGCTGGCTTTCACTCAACGCAGGCAAGCGCATTGGGGGAAAGCCAGCTTACAGAGCTGGCCTTCCCCCAACGCGCCTGTTTGCGCTGTGGCTGCTTGAAAGAAAAGAAGCAGCGCGAGGTGGCATTGTTTTTTTTTTGTTATTTTTTTTTAAGCGGTTGCGTCGACCACTTGGAAGAAACAAAAATATTTTCTTCTGCGGAGGGAGCGAGTAGAGGGTGAGACGGTGAGACCTTGAAAAATGAAGAAGCGGCCACTGAATAGCCGCGTGGTGCGCCCCTCATGACGTACAGAGGCTCCTTTGAGAGTAAACTACTTTCATAAATGTGGTGTTCTTGTTTGTTGTCAAATTCATTAGAACTTCTATATTGAATTACCCGGTATATCAAACTGATACACAGTTTTTTGCGAGCTCAATATAAACAGGTTTGACTGTACTACCCTTCTCCACTCAAATGGCCCTCCCGAAAATAAACTGGCAACTTGACAAGGTTGAGGTTAGTTTGGCAAACCAGTATTTAGAGTCACATCTCGTTAGTATGGACCCTGTTATTATAAACACTCCGCAATTTCGAAAACAAATTTTGCGGAGGGATTTGCTGCTACGTAATTGTGCCCCGTTAATGTAGAAACCCGCAGTCCGAATTATGGACCACTTTTTTGGGAATGAATTGGGAATATACATGCATTCTTGTCTCCTTAACATGAATGCAAGTTTTCTAAAGTAGGTCAACGAACACAAGAATGTGAACCCTAGAGGTCACGGGGTTCACACAAATGTTTGTGGCCTGTCTTGAGATAAGACCTGCCTACCTAAAGATGGTAAGGTTTTTCAGGTTTTTAGCTTTCATGTGCCCTTTGCCCCTCCCCGATTGTTGTTTGAGGTCAAGGATGGCATGTGATAAATCCCATTCATTTGTGACATGCACTCTTAGTGCATAAAAAGCAAGGTTGGACGGTTTTGTGGTTAGTTAGGAAGTGGGAAAGACAATACCTGGTGAGAAGCAAAATGGTCAGAGGCCATGGCGAGTGTGAAACGTGAGCAAACAAAGCTTTTAGCTCAGCTAAAAAAACAAATGCAAATTCAAAACTGAGAAGATTTCAGGACATGTGCAATATGTTAAAGAGTAGAGCCTCCCCCCCCCCCCTCTCTCATAAAAAACAAGCAGACAAACAAACAAAAAGCTTTTCTTTACTTTTGCAAGATTGGCGGTGCACGCTTTCTCGACAGAAAAGTGGGCTGAAAAGTATATTGCATCCCATAAATTTGTGGTTAAATATACCATGCCTTTTTTGTCTACGCTTGTTATCTAATGATTGCGTGCGTTCTATACTCGTTTTCACCTCAAGTAAAAAGGATGTTTTGCACATTGTTCATACGCCGGGCGAAGTAGTTCTTACAAGATTTGGTTGTCGGAGGAAGAAGCGATGCTTTTGGCGCTTGAAACGTATACGTCTTGATAAGGTTACATATATCTAGGGTGTGTATTTACCGGTTTTAACCGAAAAACACCGATAAACATCCGTCGGTGGCAAAAATACAAAATCGGTTAAAACCGAAAAACACCGGTGGTTGGATATTTTCGCCCCGGTTAAAACCGAAAAACACCGGTCGTTGCACGTTTCCGACCTAGCGAAACCCTTTCCCCCATAGAGGTTCGTCAAACGTGTTATCTCGTGGATGCTGCATTCTTCCAGTGTCTATACATGGCTTGCTCGTGACGTCAGTCCGCCCTCCTTTCTGGGGGTGAAAAGCGCCTAGTTAACGCAGTGAAATCTAAGCTCTTACACGCCTTTCCCTCGTTTTGTCTCCCATGGCCCCCTTTTGTGGAAAAATTAACGCAGCGGAGGGTACGCTCTCACGGGCCTTTTCCCCATTATGTCTGGCCAAGTAATGTCGGTGCAAGCCATGTATTCAGAGGTTGCTCTGGTTCCTGAAAGACACTACCAACATCCGTGTCGTACAGGGCTACTGACCTTTCAGAAGTGAGATGCGTTCCTTGTTATCTGTTCAGTTTCCATGGGCTTTTGGGGAAACGAAAAAAGGGTTTTGTTGGCGGGGGAGTTTTTCGGCTGTATATAAAAGGACCATTCTGTAAAAAAAATTGTAGACGTGTTCAAGAAGGCGCGTCCGTCCCGCGTCTGCGGGTTTTCTCAACATGAGACTTGCTTCCCTTCGTCGTCACGCGGAGTAGAAGGCCACCAGGATGGGAAGTAAGCGGAAAGC